ACCAGGTGATCTGGTCCACACGTTTCAGAACCCATTCGGCAATCGCTGACCGCACATTCACACGTCTTGGCGCTGCTATTATCCTAGTTGGTGACGCAGCCCATGTACATTCACCCGCGGGTGGCCAGGGCATGAACTTGGCTATCAGGGATGCGATCTTCCTTGCGGAGGCTGTTACAAAGCACATTCAGGCCTCTGCAGAAGACCCCGATGTAGATGATGCCATTCTGCAGGAAATTGCGGAAGCGCGTCACGCGCGAGCGCTAGAAACCATTGACTTCACCAAGAAACTTCTGAAACTCGCAAGCCTTGGGTACGATCCATATGCTTGGTGGATGCCGTTCAGTTGGGCTTCTATTCGCGACCTGACACTGCGGACATTAGGCAGATTTGATTTCGTGCAGTCGAGTGTTGCATGGGGAATGAGTGGGCTTGGACGACGCTGATCGCGCATATTAGATGGCTTTTTGGCAAATAGTTACAAACCGTTCCCATGTGACATGAAATTTTGAAAGCCCAGAGCGGCGCATTGGCGATGACTTGTATCGCTGGAGGATAGACTCGTAACCAGTTTTTACTACGTCTCTGAGATGGTCGATCTTGGCAGGCGAAGCGCGGGTTTTGAAATTTGCTTCACATCAAGCGCATGGTACAAAGTACTGTATGCCTCTCAAACAGCATATGCATATCGCATGGAGTAGTAGTACCGAACGTTGAATAGGACAATAAAATGATACCATTGAATGCATTCTACCCGGCCATGCCCCAACACCAGCCACTTGTTAACCTTTGATTTGGATTTCCTTCGAGCCTTGACCGAGATGAAAAAACCTGGCCATCCTAAAAATTGTTCGTAGGCTTCCAATGACGGCCATGGACCTCGTATTATGCACTATCAATAATGATACCATGCATTTGAGCTGGGAGAATCTAGGATGTTGTGTTCCTCGCGAAATAAAGTCGAGTTGTGCGAAAGCTTTGAGAGTTTGCTGGCTTTGCCATGTTTCCTCGAAAGGGTATTCGTAAAGTCCACTGGTAGATTGTCGATAGCTTCTAAAGCAGCACGCGACAAAGGTGGGACAGAAGTAATGATAAACCTCATGCACATGGTTGGAGGTTTAACACAGTCTGCATGACGGTAGACGCAAATTCAAACTCCGTGCTTCGTCTGCCAAATCTCTCCGAGATCGACCAGCCTGGCTTCGCTACACGACTTGTCCGCAGGGTATAATTTAAAGTCAGGCTGGTCACGGGCCTAAGTGGAGGGGGATCAGCGATGATTAACTTGGCAGGAATCCACGGGCCACGTCAGACCACATCTTGTGACGGTGAAGTCAACTGTCATCAACCTAGTAAGGATTCCGTTGATTTTCAAACTAGGACATGTGTCCAGCTATATAATACAAGCGAAAGCCTGTGAGAGCGAGGCGGCTTCATTCACCAACTTTGGGAAGTGGAGGACAAGCGGAACCCGAGGCATTACAGCCGCTACTTTCATATCGATAGAAGATTTCATTTTTCGATCTTGGTTGGGCGAAATGACAAGGGCGCTCTGCCTGGACGTGCCACACATCCTGCAGTGGCCGTCAAACAGCTTAATAGGCATTGAAATCCTTTGGTCGTCATAACTGGTAAAATTGTGCAAAGTGGATACTTGTAATACGTGCGATAGTCGCGGGCCTCAGCGCCGAGTGAAGCGAGTCCCTTGATTATGAGGGTATTCTGCCCGAATTGTATCGTAAAAGGAGGGACCCTGTTGTTTGCCCAGCACAGGGAAATCCAATAAATAGAGGCTGTAAGGGGAAAAGTGAAATATGGTTCACCGATATGAAACTGTAGTAATCCGACCGTAAGATCTGTAATGTAGGAGCAACCCGCGGGTATCACATCTGGTATGTTCCGCGACAGGAAAACATACGAGTGCAGTGCCATTTGCAAACCCGCATAGCTGCATGATGTTGTGAACATGTGATGCATAGGTGTCACCGTGTCAGTGAATGATGGCACAAGTATGTTGCGCCTTATTAGAAGGAACGGCAGTATCCTTCGTCTATAAAGGGTTGTTCACTGGCGGGGCGGCCGTGTATAATCTGGGTATGCTGGACTGCCAGTGACAAGGACTGTCAAGCATCAGGGAAAACCTGTCCAGGACCATGATGCATCGATGTACGATTGTTGTACCGATTGTAGCCGCACTTTCAGATATATCGTTTTCGAATCAAACCAGATTACAATGTGACTTTGTCGTCGAAGTCGAGGACAGTTCAGTGCAGGAGTATTAATGTGGGAAATGTTAGAGTCGGTGGGCGCCCCGCTAAGCATACAGGCTTACATAATCCCCAACATCATGAACTCAAGGTGAACTGGTCCGACCGCCCATTGCCGCCACCACCCCAATAATAAGAACGTCATTTGACTATCATATATCGTATTATATCATGCGCCATGCGCATCATGGCATATCTTAATTGGTTCTGAATGAGAATAGTAAAAGACAGCGAGTTATCCGACAAATCAGCCACAAACAGCAAATGACGAAATCAATCTAGGGCTCTGTTTTCTTTGCCGTTTGCTTCCGTATCGCTTCGCGCACACGAACATAGTTATTCCAAAGTACCTTCCATTCCGCTTCTGGTGTGCCTTCCCCAGGCTCACCAATGCCGCCAGAACGGTCTGCTGCAACACCTGCCCACCCCAGAGCGCGTTCATAACACTCAAGGGCGCCTTCCGCGCCATCTTTCTCGCCTTCCTTCAGTATACCCATGAGATTCCAGGCTTCAGCAGCCGTCCGGCGAGCATCGCGGAGAAGGCTTTTAGCCGGCTTTCGCATTGCATTCGATTTCGCATACACGGGAACTAGGGATGCTTCCGAGGCAGGCGGATGGGGAATTGTCGAGCCTGGTGCATCAGGATGGGTGAATGGGAGACCTGCAAGGGCGAGAGCAACTCGCTCGGATGATTCTGCAGCGCGCGTGAGCCATTGTATGGACTGTTCAGGTGCTGTGCGGAGGGCGTAGAGAACTTCCGCGAGGTGAATGGAAAGTAGAGACGATCGGTGAAGTAGAAATAGTGAATGCAATGCCTGTGGCGGAGACGCTGTTGAAATTCTGGAAGGAGACGGAATCGAGCGTAGGAGATCGAGTCCGGACTCCTGTACATGTTGCGCTTGCTTAAGGTAGCCAGAGGTGGAATAGTACGCGGAAAGTGATATCAACGTGGAGGCAAGCGTGCGTTGTGCACACGGAGATGAAGGGATGGTCTGCGTTAATTCAGGAGCCGAAAGATCTGCTTGCTGAGTGCCCTGGGTGAGGTTGATAGTCCGCGCCCACCATCCAAGCGCGTCCTCAAAGTCCCCAAGACGATAGTCGAGGTCCCCGAGTTTTAATGCAACTCGTGCAGCATCCGCGCCCTTAGCGGGCAGTCCAGCCCACACTCGCTCATACCGGGACCGGGCCTGCAAAAGTGCATCCCTCGTCCCCATCCGCTCGAGAATGGAAGCGTGGCGGGCGAGTAGCTCGCCCATAGTTTGTGGGCGTAACTTGCCAGACGGCAATTTGCCTTCGATGATGCTGATGGCAAGAGCCATAAATTTTTGGGAAACTTCCAGGCGAGCCTCTACAACATGGAGACTACCTGTACCCTGGGAGCCTCGTCCCGAAGGTGTGTTCGAGCGGCTGATGATCGCTCCTGAGCCCGTTCCCCAGTTCTCGGCAATCCATGCACTACGAACAGCATGCCTGCCTTTGAACCCAAGTGCCGGGTCCGTTCCACCTCTATCCCCGCCTGACCACCTCTCAGCTTCGTGATCCCACTCCCATCTGCGTATTTCGCTATCTTGATCGCATGCGAGTTCGACATTCTCTACCCACATATGTAAACCCTCGAATACTGTCCATCCGGTGATCCCGAGTGCAAAGACACCTATAAGGGAAAATTTTGCCAGGCGTTTGAAAAAGTCCAGAGTGAACAATGTGGATTGGGTGAAGGGATCCTCAATGAGAACGGGTGATTCCGCCGCAGCTGCATCTTTTCGTCGTGATGTGGGCTGATTGCCCGTACTCTGTGATTTGAGCCGACGATGTCTGGGTACTAGGGGTGCATAGACACGCAACGGGCGGGTATGCAAGTTCGTAAGTGCTCTGAGCATTGGAGCTGTTTGTAACTCAAGCGCTCAAGCTTAAATTTGATGAACAACAGAAGTTTCGTACGTAAGGTTGCGAGAACGTTGTGTCAGATAACTATCTTGATAAGAGGTTGACCACTCGGCTGAGTCGACTCAGTGTTATTGTTGCGGGGAGCTGAAAGCTAAGACCACATGAGTATTTAGAAATTCAAGGGGTACTTGCAAAGATATTTTTGAGCTGATGAGTCGGCCATCATTTCCCCCACGCGTCAGCACTAATTTCCAAATTTAGTTGATCAGTTTACTTTGCTGTGCTTTGGCTGTGTTCCTTGTCATGTAATGTTACATACACCGCCCACTGCCAGTACTTGCCTGCAGGGAAACGTGTGTTGTGGCATGCGTTTCAAAGTTGTGAATTTACTCAAGGCGGTGGCGACAAATATCCGTAGGGACGTCACAGGCGTCGGCAGCAGGGCGAGAACCCTGTCAAGTTGGCACCATGACTGTGTCTGCCGACAGGCTTGTGAACATGATTATGATAACATTTCGCGCCATCAGCTCATGTCAGTCAATTTCAGTACTATCCCCCCCTGCATCACTCTCACCACAGGTGATCTCCATTCGGATAGACCGTTTGTCCGCCTGCTACTAGGCGTTCTTCCGATTTGCTGTCGGTGGTTCTTTCCAACATCAAGGCATCATGCTCATTCGGACTGAACACCGGTATTGGCGCCTGGCTCGATTGGATACAAACATGAGTCACACGCATGATGTTCTCACTCGAAGCGGCGTGCCTTCCTGTCAGGCACGTAGTACAGAAGCTTTACCTGTACCCTACTTATAGTTCGATGTCTGCATTTTCATTTCTCGCCTCTCACTTATTGTCGGGTTGCCTCTGGTGTGTGTAACTTACGCTACCATGAACTTCCTACCTTGGGGGACGTTGTTCTTCAGCATCCTTTGGGCCTCCGTGGTAGCTGCCATTCCATCACGAACCATTGATACAAGGGCTTCCAGTCCCTATGTAAGCACCAGTGGCTCTGGCTTTGTGGTGAACGGAAGGTATGGATCAATTTATGTTGGATGTGAACCTGTAATAACTCATCTTCAATCAGTTCATTGAAGTACATCGGTACTAATGTTTATTGGCTACCTACGCTAAACACGAACGAGGATATACGGAACACGCTGGCAAACATATCAGCTCTTGGCATCAAGGTCGTCAGATTATGGGCATTCAATGGTATCTATCCCTGTTTTACCCTTTCGATGCAAATGATACCATCAATCACGGTCAGATGTGGCCACCATCCCCGCGGATGGCACTTGGTTACAGCTTATTCAGAATGGCACCGTTTCCGTCAACGATGGGCCAAACGGCCTACAGAAGCTTGACACAGTCATTCAATTGGCTGAAGAGCAAGGCCTATATGTCATTCTATCTCTTACGAACAACTGGGACCCTGTGCCACTCTCGAACGACACTCGTCTTCGCAATTATCTATCTAACAACTACGGTTGGTCTTGACCAGACTCTTGATCCCTGCATCTTTTTGATCATGACTTTAGGTGGCATGGATACATATGTTCGCCAATTCGGCCTCCAAACTCATGACCAGTTCTATACGAATCCGTCAGTATTAACGTCTTTCCTGAATTATACGACGCAAGTGGTCTCCCGCTACGTGAACAGTCCATCAGTCTTCAGTTATGAATTGGCTAATGACGCCAGGTACGTGATACCCTATCTTTCGGAGCCGCTCAGCTCAATACACTTTATACAGGTGCAACTCTACCTTGCCAGCATCTGCTACCTGCACGACAGAAACGATCACGGCCTGGCATGCGACGGTAGCTGCGCACATCCGTAGCATTGATCCAAACCACCTCATCTCTTCGGGGTATGTCACAATGTCGATAAAAATCATGCACCGTCTGACGGCTGATCTAGTGTCGGAGGATATCTGTGTCCAGATTGTCCAAAATTATATCCCCTGACAGCACCAGCACCTCCTGTAACATCGCCGGCTCCCGGGAAAAAGAAGCGCAGCCAGGCAAAACCCGTGACCAAGAAGCAAATCCTTCGAGAAGAATCTGAGAGGAGACGCCGCAACAGAGAAGTTGCGAAGCGTGCGGGGACTCTGGTGGAAGACGGTGTACGAGTAAGAGGACGATGGGTTTCGACATGCAAGTCCGAACACATCATAGCAGTTTCTCAGCTGATTATGTTTGACAGCTACCAAGAGGCAACAGAGTTCGACTTCGGGGTCACTGTATGACGGTTCATATGGCGTCGACAGTCAAGACATCTCGAACATTCCAGACATTGGGTTCTCTTCCTTCCAGCTATTCCCCGACCAGCAATCATACGGTCCTGATGACCCGAATATTCCGTCTTGGCAAAACATAGAGCAAAACGGTGCCCAGTGGATCACCACTCAGGCCCAGAGTGCTGCTGCGTGAGCATCTTGTGATTATTCAATGTATCTGGATGTCTGATCTCTATCTCAGCGTCGGGAAACCTGCGGTGCTCACTGCCTTTGGTCTAGTTACGCAAGCCAATGCTCCTGACTTCGTGCCATTCAACTCTACGGTTGCTCCATTTGCTTCTGAAAATCTTGCGAAGCGACAATCCACGCTTGGCTATGGTGTGACCGACCAACAGCAAGCAACAACTTACACGACATGGCTTGATAGTGCGTTCTTCAATATTATCCTTAATATCTTTTCCGGCCTTACAAACATTTGATTAGCTGGTATTGCTTCGGGACTCAACGGCATAGTGCAGTACCAGTGGGGTCAGTCCGGCCTTACAGCTGAACCGGGTACTACTATCGATCCCCCTACTACCACTGGAGAGTCGCCTACGCCGAGTAGCCCAGGAGAGACACCCACTCCCCAACAAACCACTGGCTCCTCCCCCAATGATGGTTACGCTATGTTCGTGGTCCAATCATTCTATTCTGACATGTACTGACCTCTTCGTAGTACCGGCTCCAATACTGTTCAGCAAATCCTTGGGAACTCGGCCCAATCCATTGCGGCGGACTGAAAGACACTTGACGTTATGTTTGAATGAATGCTATATTGACTCTCTTGGATTCAACGGACATACGGTATTCTCTGTTGTACAATCTGACAATTCACGTTACCCTTCTTGGACATCTGTGCGGACTTCCAGTACAGTTGTTTTTACAACATGTAACTCTAGATAAGCATATATTTCGGTAGAACTTTTTTTCGTGACGTATTAAATCTGATATATTGTGGAGACTCTATGGTATCAGCCAGTAATAATTGTAGAATCGGTTTGCAGTTTCAATTGAGTCAGTTCATAAACAATCGTGAGGCTGAGTACGGCGGTTCTTGGCGGCTCACAGAATACAAATCATGAAGCAACGTTGCGAAAGATGCTGTAAATTTGTTGTTCATGGAAAGATTGTTGCAAGTCGGGCTTTAAAATTTTACAATGATGAAGTCATTTTATCAAACAAGCTACCAAATCGGGATCGATAAACTATATAACCCGCAGCGCCGAAACGATGTAAATGCCGTCCTAAACGCCCTAAACTAGACGAGACCTTTCCTAAAGCTTCCCGTGCGCGTAGTGTATCCTAGTTTGTTACATATTTTTCTTCTCCAATATTTAGAAATATTACTGAGGATTAGACCCCATGTACACGTATACCGGATCCCACTGTTACTGGACTCAGTAGTGCACAATAGTCTTGCCGAGCGTGCTAACGTTACGCGGTTAGTTTCTAAAAGCCGGCATCCGTAAAGTTGATGTCAGAGTTAAGGTTACTTCTTGGGTCCAGAACTTCAGAAGCAGTCTGTGTAAACGTTAACCCCAGACTCGTGATGTATCAGGTAACGGTGCTAAGCGCTAAGTAGCACTAACTTGATTTTAAATAACGCGAAAGGTGGCTCGCGGCAGAGCCCGCTACGGTCCCTTTGTCGAGTCATAATGTGAATCAATTGGTGTTATAGACACAAGCATCGTACAGATTACGGGACACCATTACATATGGCTTTTCGGCGCCTCGACACCATTTGGAGCCAAGATCAATCATTATTTTCTCACGTGTCTGTCCTTGCGACTTATGTGCAGTGATCACGAACCCTGGAAGAATTGGCACTTGCGTTCGAGTGATGCGACACATTTTCTTGGAGTTGGGATAGGTGAATTTGAGCTCTACGGCGTCTTCGATTATTGGGATTTGGTGCAGAGACAAGTTCGGGAGTGCTCCATCTGACGAGTGACTGATTTCTACGATGCAGGATCTTAAGACCCGTTGTCCCTCATCGTTCAGCGAGTGTCCGACTCTCCTTAGCTTTAGAACCCGTTTGGGTAGCTAGACATAATCCCACTTGGATAACAGGCGAAGAAGACATATTCTCTATAAATCATTGTTCAGCCTGGAGTCATATGAAAATGATTCGGACGAATACACGTACCTCGGTCCTCCAGGCTGAAAATTCCAAGTATGACCAGCAAAAAACTGCGCAAGATCCATCTCCGAAGGCCGAAGAAATCGAAAGCCATCGAACGTCGCATTTACGAATGCGAGCCAATCACGGCCAAGTTCAACATCACACCCATCCAGATAGACGGGGCTAAATGTTTGTCGAGAATTATACCAACCGTCGACAGTAGGAACGCGCACCGGACCAGAAGTCGACTCCACAGCCACTCCATTATGATCAGAAACAGAACGCGGCACATTATAACTGTGCAGAAGGACACAGTGGAATCAGAACTCGCACTATTGATGCGAAAAACAGTAGGAACATCAGCGAAAGATCCAATGACTTCGTGATAGATAAAAGACATGGTCGATGACCGATGTACGCAGAGACAATTGAATGCATCTTCCTTACACGGTCACAGTCACGTCACAGGCTACTCGTCACGGCGTTACAACAATGTTTGTGTGCCGACACTATGCTAGATTTCTGGTTTGTCGTTGGATTTGACGGCGTGCGCGTTCGACCGAACACACCGAGACTGGAGGAGAGGGACGACTAATTGCAGTTAGGTTCAACGGGTGGATATACATAGAAGGAGTTGCGCACTTCTGAGTCACTAAGAGAAGGCTGAGATCTGCCATCAATACTTTTGCGTCTGCTGGCAGGCACAGGGCACTTTGACCAGCTTGAAGGGGGCTGCGCGTCCAACGGGGTTGTTCGCTGTCGTCGCGACATATCAAAGGCAGAACTAATCCCTGTATTGGGCGTCTTGGGCGGCACAGACGGTGGCCGCCTTGTGACACATGAAGTTCCTACCAAGCATCTGCTAGGTGATCGCGAGTGGTTGGTACTGCGAGAAAAAAGGATTGCGTCAGTTCTCGCATCGCGTCAGAAAGTCTCCGTAAACTTTACAGAGTGACGATATTCCCCCATGCTACAGATTTATCAGATGATACTGGGGCAGGTGCAATGAATAGCGGGTGGGCAACAGCGGATGGTACGAGAAAGCAAGTAGGCAACAGCGGGAGGGTGCGAGAAAGTAAGTGGGCAACGGCACAAGACGTCGGGAGAGCGCGAGAAAGCGGGTTAGCACAAGACGGCGCGAGGGCGGGTGGGATGCATGATCAGAAGAAGGGGATGCATCAGACGGAGGCCCAGGGATGAGGGAAGCAAAGGGTCGGCGGTGCGGTCCATCCTACTACTAAGTTAGTCGGTCATTTAGAAGAATGGCGCTGAAGGAGCAGACCTTGACATCTTCACGTTGCTTATGAGTTGCTGCAGCCTGGTAGTGTTCCAAAGCAGTGTACGGATCTCGCGGAGAATTATGCAAGATGCACTGAAGATGGCGGAGGTGTAGGAGCTGTTGGATGTGGCGGGAGTGATGTTGAGAACAACTAAGGGCGTATCGACTTACTGTTCACTAAGGCAAGAACATGCTGCAGCGTGATGTTAGCCGTGAATGTATACAGAGTACCATAGAACTGAGCTGCATGGATGTGGTGTCGGCGTTGAACAAACCGTGCGGCTAGATCTAGATGTGCTAGTGCAGGACAAAGAGCAACGCGATTGTGACAAACGGTCACGCTGCCTCGTTAGGCCTAGGGCTGAATGGTTTACTGGTCTAACTTCCTTGCCACCGTCAGCATCTGCGAGGTGTTCATGAAATTCTTTATCGACAACCTACCCGTTTGTATTGTTATGTTTGGTGGACATTAATGATGCTGAAGTTCTCTACTTCAGATTGTTTTCCCTTATGACCGAATTTACCCTGGTTCGTACATTCAAATGCCAGCCATACTCCACGTTAACTCTGTCATCTGCAGAACAATATGCATACATGTGTGATCTCAAAAGAACCCTGGATGCAACGGTACGACACACGTAGGTATTGTCCTGGATATGCTATTCTGACTGCTTTCCTCTAGGGGCATTGCGTTTTGGAGATGCCTTCAGGAACAGGGAAGACCGTTTCACTGCTGTCTCTAATTGTGTCATATCAACAGGTATGTTTCCAAGCTCGCATCATAGCATATTTCTTGACGCTTCTTGCCAGTTTTACCCCACGAAACGGAAACTTATATATTGCTCGCGAACAGTTCCAGAGATCGAGAAAGCGTTGGCCGAGCTGAAGCGTCTCATGGCGTACCGGATCAAGTTTGCGGAGACCCCCGAACAAGAAGCAAAAGAACAAAGTTTCATGGGACTCGGACTCACGAGTAGGAAGAACCTCTGCATACACCCAGACGTGAGTACACACGTTGTAAAGAGCCCGTTTCCACAGCTTACGTTTCTCTGTATGCTAACTTTCTAGGTCTCAAAGGAGAAGAAGGGCAAGGTAGTCGATGCCCGTTGTCGAGACCTCACCAACTCTGCTGTATGCGAGAAAGGTCGCGCAGATCCAGGTTCAGTCGAATTGTGCGATTGGCACGAGGTGAGTCATTGAAATTTGCATCAGTTGCCCCATGGGTGCTAATTCGTCTTAGAACCTGGGTAAAGGTGAACCTGGCTCCTTAATACCCCCTGGCATATGGACACTAGCCGATGTTCTTCAGCACGGGCGCGAAACCAAGACATGTCCGTACTTCACGGTTCGGCGAATGGTGAGTGACGTCAATATCACACAGTAGCCCTCATCAACTGCGCAAGATGCCGTTCGTGGATGTCATCATCTACTCGTTCCACTATCTGCTTGATCCCAAAGTTGCCGAACAAGTTTCCAAAGAACTCTCAAAAGACGCCATCGTCGTTTTTGACGAAGCTCACAATATCGGTAGGCCTTGTCGAATAATCATTTGATTTTTCTATAATCCATCGCAGACAATGTGTGCATCGAGTCATTGAGCATTGACTTGACCCGACCGATGTTGGATTCAGCTGCACGCAGTGTTGTGAAATTGGGTGAAAAAATAGATGAGTTAGTGTTTTATATATCATTGTGATCGTAGTACTCAAGTACATTTTTAGGATCAAGAAAACGGACGCGGCCAAACTACAGGACGAATATGCGAGACTTGTCGAGGGGCTGCAGGAATCGGCGGCGGAAGCTTCTGACGAAGACGCATTCATGGCCAACCCAGGTTCGTCGAGAAATCAAACAGCTTTCCACTTTTACTGAAATTTCCGGGAAAGTTTTGCCAGATGACCTCCTGAAAGAAGCTGTTCCAGGAAACATCAGGAAAGCCGAACATTTTGTGGCATTTTTGAAGCGATTCGTGGAATATCTTAAGGTTTTTGGTCTGACACCTATGCGGCACACCTGTTGACAGTTACCATAGACTAGGATGCGCGTTTTGCATGTCGTTGCGGAAACGCCATTGTCGTTTCTACAGCACTTAAAAGATATCACTTACATTGAGCGGCGACCACTGCGGCAAGTATTGTTTTCTTTCCGCCTGTATTCTTTAACGTCAGCCTTCAGGTTTTGTGCAGAGCGACTACAGTCGATGATCCGTACATTGGAGCTGAATCGGTTAGATGAGTACTCGGCATTGCAGAAGGTCGCAAGTTTTGCAACCCTCGTTGCAACTTACGAAAAGGGTTTGAACTCTAATCCTTATTAACGTCGATATTAACTCTGTTACAGGGTTTCTTCTTATTCTTGAACCATTCGAAACCGATAACGCGACCGTTCCTAATCCCATCTTCCACTTCACGTGAGAGTTTGATTACCTATCCTGAATTTTCTTTGCCTACTCAGCATTAATGTCAGATGCCTGGACCCGTCGCTCGCAATCAAACCCGTATTCGAGCATTTCAGCAGCGTCGTAATCACTTCAGGAACCATCTCCCCATTGGACATGTATCCAAAGATGCTGCAATTCACCCCCGTCGTGCAAGAAACATATCCTATGACGCTCACACGCAATGCTTTCTTACCGTTAGTGAGTTGTCTTGCTAATCTCTGTGCTCTTGTCCACTGAGAATAGAAGGTCATCACGCGAGGAAGTGACCAAGTCGCTATCAGTTCACGTTTCGAAGTTAGAAATGACCCCGCCGTAGTTCGCAACTTTGGAAGTATTCTCATCGAGTACAGCAAGATCGTACCGGACGGCATCGTGGCTTTCTTCCCTAGTTATCTTTACATGGAGTCCATCGTTGCAGCTTGGAATGATATGGTAAATCTCTGTACCCCAAGAAATAAAACTTTATTCATCATTTTCTTAGGGTATTCTCAACGAGGTCTGGAAGAACAAGTTAATATTTGTGGAAACGCCAGATGCAAACGAGACGAGCATTGCTTTGGAAAACTATCGCCGCGTGAGAAGTGCCTATGCCACAGAGAAGTTCGACCACTCACAGAATTACTGCAGGCTTGCGATAATGGCCGAGGAGCTGTTCTTCTGTCGGTCGCGCGTGGAAAAGTGTCAGAGGGTATCGATTTTGATCACAACTATGGGAGAGCTGTGATCATGTTTGGGTTCGTGATTGAATTCATACATTAGAGCCGGCAACTGATAGAATCGCAATAGGGTCCCATATCAATACACGGAGAGCCGGATATTAAAAGCACGGTTGGAGTATTTGCGTGATGCATACCGCATAAGAGAATCCGAGTTCCTTGGTTTTGATGCCATGCGCAACGCCGCTCAATGCGTTGGACGTGTCCTGCGAGGTAAGACTGACTGGGGTCTGATGGTGTTCGCAGACAAGGTTAGTCTATGTTTTGCAAATAATCGTTTGACTAACTTGCCAATCGTGACAGCGTTTTGCTCGTGCCGACAAACGGGCCAAGTTACCCCGGTGGATAAATCAATACATCACGGAGGTTGCTTCTAATCTTTCCACGGATATGGCCTTGACACTTTCCAAGCTCTTCATGCGCACAATTTCGCAGAATCCAAACGAAAATCAGACTGGTGTATCGTTATGGACACTAGATGATATTGAGAAAGCGCAAGCAAAGCAGAAGGAACAAGCACTGCTCATGGAGCAACAACAAGAGCAGGAAGACGATATGGATATCGATTATGGAGACGGTGGGATTGATGATGATACGTTGTTGGGCTTGGATGTGTAGTTATACATAGTAGAGATATAATTTCTAGGAAGGTAATCCTTGAAACCACCGGGGTGGCAGACGTGAGCACTCCTGGACGATTGGAAGAATGCATTAGGTGATCCAAGACGTGATATATATATATACAGAGTGTCGCAGCCAGTGGTGAGATATGTCAGATTAGCTGGATCTTGTCATTGGGGGCACTGTGGACATATTCCGGAGGGACGCTGTGAACATGACGGATCAGCACCAGACCAAATTTAAAATTGAGGAACACGATATACTTCTGGTGTGATCAGCCGCTGGGGTTGACTGGAGAATAACAATAAGCGACCGAAAGCTTCGCGGAAGCAAAAAAAGCTATCACGATGGTGGCTTACCTATAATACCGACGGCAATTGCATGGTCTCGCCGGTGATCCGCACGTGGTCGGATGATTTGTGCTGAGGATGCAGTCTCGTGCAAGACAGTCAATGTAAGTGTCGCCTTGGAATGTAAGATGACCGCATGCCGTATTTTTGGTGAAACGCAGCTGTCGATAGCACATCTGATAGGATATGGAACAAGGGCTATTTCAGTTTTGATACGAGAAGCTTGAATGGGTCTTTACACTTCGTCGGCGGCGGTAGGACAACGCTAATAAGCAAGCGACAAGTTTTGAGTTTACCAAAGGCACTGCTTTTAGTGACTTCGTGAGATCTTCCCGGCGGCATCGTTATTACCAACGACTTACCGTACGCAGATGAAGAAGGTCGTCGGTGTTGAGGTATACCAGAGGTAGAGACGGGGAGAATGCTCCTGCTTTTAAGCCGAGAGTACGTGTGTGCAGTATAATTAACTATTACATACGATTCAAATCTCGCGGTACAAGTCCGCCAACTCCCGTGTCATACCAATTTTTGGCCTATACCAGAGACCTTTCATCTGCTTTATGGCAAAAAATACGGGTCTCAAGATCTCAGGGATGACGGTGCGAACTTTGGGCGAAATTTTCGCCCTTTAACCTTGTTTGTAATTGATCGACGTTCATGCCGATGGGCGCGAGCACGACCCCCGGGTGCCCTGATCCCAATATTTTTTCTAAAATTCGTCAATTTATCTCCCGTTGGCCTTGGCGCTCCGGGGTATATTTACATTATCTATCATCATAGAGTGTTCCTATAGAGGCTTGTCCAGTCTTTCTGGGCCCTATCAGAGGCCCTACGCGTGCAGCGGAGGCCCGAGTACTATTTTCCGCAAACCTCCCTTCCTCGACTTGGTCAATTCCTGAAGCGCTGCGATTAGTACTGAGCATTCGGCCATCGGCACTGAGGACAAATTATCCCGGGAGCCTTCTCGGGAGAGGGGACATGTGCAAACCTAAAAGCTTGTAGATCCGACATGTAAATTTACATAGCAAGATACGAGACAAACCCCATACCTTTCACCTGTGATTGCCAAGCATGAGGGTCGCTTTCTCGCCACCTTGAGAACAAACTGACATGAATAAAATCAACACGATTAGTGAGTCAATCGAAAGAAACGGTGTTGTAAAACTGATCCTGACCATATGCCACGCCTACCTTCTGTGAGTATAACAGCATGCTCAATTCGCTCCAAATTGGAATGCTAAGAAAAACATTGCTCAGGTGAGCACCTTGTAATATAACTTACAAACTACCACCTGAAAATTTTCTGGAGACCAGGCCTTCATCATCCTGCTTGTATTTTCCGGATAAAGGATCTGGCCCCCAATTTGTCCTGATTGCATCGCGCATACGACCCTTAGACCTCGACAATTTGTCCTGACAAAATCAGGCCTCCCCACCTATATTCGGGGGTCCTGCGGGAGGTCAATGGAGACGTGAGCTTGTATTCCACCCAAGGAAATTGCTTCCCGAACTCATGGACCTTTCTCCATTCCGTGGAACATGCAAAAGGCACCATCTTACTGACAAGCTTCTCTTCCTGGGTATCAATCCCCTTTTGGTTTCCCTGAAGCTCGAAGGCGTCCAGGATAGTCAAGGATTCCGGGAATGTTTATAAATAAATCGACATTTTGTGAGACCCATATGAGACTTGTCCGTCAAAACCAGTCGGGGGGGTGAAGCGGCAGAATGCTAGAGACTCATCGACAAGGTCCACAGGTCAACTGGTTACGAACGGACCTTGAAACGGTGACCTACTTGGCGGCCGGCTCGTGATGAGTCAGAGTGAAGGCCTGAAGCGTTTTAGCGGCTTCGCACCTCCAAAGATGGCTTGTGTATTACAAGCTTAGCTCCTATCCAAAATACGAACTGGCATGCGGGCTATAATTTTCCGTCTCCGCTTGATCGCACTGTCATCACGATGTAATTCAATTATACTGTTAACAGTCATTTGTCGCTGAAGAAACTCTCCAACTTGCCCTTCGAGTCGCTTTTTGGAAGAGCGACGTCAACTACATGAATATTGACATTGCTTGCGCTCCTGCAAGTCAACCATGTTAAACCATGTTCCCACCTCGGTCAGTCAGATGTGACAGGTCATGTTGCCGTATATCTTCCAGATCCCCCTCTCTATTTGACCAAAATTGTCAAACGATGAAATCCACCACTGATCAAGGAAGCCGAATTGACGCGGCGTCAATGTCATCGGTAGTCTTTGCTCTTCTTTGCCTAGTATTGGTTCTGAGAGTTTTTCCACGACTTGGAAACCCCGCGCTGGAATCGGCATTTGAATCGTGACGTGCAGGCACTATGACACAAATCCCCATTCTCTTGGAAATCGATGCGGCACCAGGAGGTAACCTAATGCATATTTACGATAAAAGCTTCCCTTGTTGAGACTACGCTTTTGACAGACCTGCATAAGCATCCGGTGAAAGGCGAAAACCTGCAACGGGATTCAGCTATCACATACTTCATGAAACATGCGAAATTCACGGTACCGATACTAACCTTGACAGTTGTGTTTGGCATATATGATTGTAACAAGAAGGTCTACCGGGAAACGGCATCCTTTGTTGAGGTAGTGACAGTTCAGATAAACGATAGTCCCCTGTCGCCGTCTTCTGGCTCGGTATTCAGTCATCGAACGTGAGGCAAAACGTCATCGCCAAATAGGTGCGTGGCTTCCGCATTGTAGATTTAATGCTCGCATGGTACCGCGGATGTTAACTAATTTACTCACATTGAATTGAAGAAGTTACGAGCATGTACGGCTGTTGTCAGAGGCATGGTGCGGATTTAGCGTTAGATTGGTTCGAGTTTCTGGATCTGCGGCATGCTGCTACTTCAATACGTGATTGGGTAACATCATGTCAGCGTCTATCAACACCAAAACTTCCGTTGACCAGGTCACATCTGTCACTGCGTGGCGTTTTGTGGCGTGAAATTGCAGCATGACGTCTTCATAGCGATTCATATCCGTTTTCGGCTCTAGCAACTGGTTAATCGATGACGCCAAAAGTACTATGTCCACCTCGGGAACTGCCATCGCCATGACGAAGCTTGGCCAGACGGACTTTAGTCACGACTATACACGCTATAGTAATAGCAATGTCAATCCTGTGTGAAAGGCTACCGTTCTTGTCCAGTCGTTGAGGATCGGAGACGAGGCGACAACCGCACAACGAAAACGTGATGGGTTGCGCATAACAACGATCCACTGACGTACAAAACTAATCAGCGAACTCGTGGTGTGTAAAGCTTGCCGGGGGCATCTTCCTCTTGACTTATCCCACCTTCACTTGATACAAATGACATGTTCTCTGCCCCAAATTTCCTTCGGACTGCCTTCTATCGACAATATCATTTCACGGAGATCATTGGACGGTCGTTTTTTTTGTAGATCCCAAGACAAGACTACCGCATAAAAAGCGAGGAGATCTCCCAGACTCAGCCCTGAGATATACAAAATATGCATTATACGTCCTAACCCCCAACTTAGTCTAATGTTTGTGCAAAAAATAAGGTGCACCTTATGTCAGTGCAGGGATTTCCTCTGACGCAACCTCCGCGACCTCATCGTGAGAAATCTTTTCCTTGATATTCCGTATTGGCTCGCCCCTGATGACCTTCCTTACTTCCTCGGCATCCAAAGTTTCGTGTTCTACCAGGGCATGCGCAAGCTGCAAATACACAAACGGAAGCTCGTGAGATGTGAACAGCAACAGGAAGAAGAAATGCGCGCACCCGATGTAGTTCCTCCTTCTTTTCCGTCAGAAGTTTGGTTGCCCGTGCCTCACCCTGTTGCAGTAATCTAATAGTAGCATGGTTAACATAATGGCAACAATTCAACAGAAGTTACTCGCTTGGTGATTTCCGCATCTATTTTCTCCCTTGTGGCAGGGCTTATCGCTTCATCTTGGTCGCTATAGAACACTGGACCAACTTTTTCCGAGAAACCCCATTTCTACAGATGTCACCCAAGTAGCGGTGAGATGGTCACGTAATGTCCAAGAGAGTCAATTTGATTTATGCTAACCTTGACCATGGCGGTTGCAGTACGAGTGGCATGCTGGAGATCAGATGAGGCACCACTTGTAAGGCCCCCTGTCCCGTAAACTAAAATCTCAAGTCAGCAGTTGTGGGAGATCGGGGTGAAAAAAACTCGCTAAGTCCCTCCGCTACGCGACCACCCATGCAAACGTCAATCGTGGCTTTGAACTCCGTTTGCGTTACTGAATACCGGTCATCTTCAGGAAGTTGGGAAGTCTGATAAATGCAAGTATCAGCATAGTTTTCAAGCCTGGAGGGTCACCATCGGCACGTACAACGCCCAACGCATGGCCACGCGGAACACACGTGACTTTATGGAGGGGCATAGCACCATCCGTATAAAGAGCTGTCAGGGCATGTCCTCCCTACCACCATCCATCAGCTTCGAAATTTTCACGCGGGATTCGTGTGGTTGATGATGCACCTCGTGATAAGCGGTCAACAACTTGTTCTTCTCGTCAATGTATGCGCTCTTCCTCTCGGCTCCCAAAAGAATGCGGTCCTACATCAAAGTGAGATAGGGTTATATAATCGTCCTAAATTACCCAGAAAATGAAGAACACGTGCCTTGGCCCATTCAAAGTGCTTTAATGTGACCTCGCTATAACCTTCCTTCGATGCTTGTATGGCAGCCTGACTGATATATAACGTGTCAAAGTATCTGAGAGACAGGAAAAGCGCATGCTGCACTCACTTCACCATGTTTTGCAGTTCGGCACCGGAGAAACCTGGCGTACCCCGCGCTAGTACTTTAGGATCGACAGCTTAACAGTAAGCCCAACACGATTTAGTGATTGGATTGCACCGAGCAAGAGAAAAAGCGTACCAACGCTTGCGACCACCTCTTTCATAAAATGCTGAAGTAGTTGGACTCGACCACGGATATCGGGCAAAGGGACAGCGATAATCCTGTCAAATCGGCCCGGGCGCGTCAAAGCACTAAACAAACAATTGTCAGAGACATCGGCACCAGATATGACAAGCCTAGCACTTACAGGTCCAAACTTTCCGGGAAGTTAGTCGCAGCAATGACGATGATGCCTTCGCTTTGCAAGAAACCATCCATTTCCACCAACAGCTGATTCAAGGTCTGTTTCATGTAATGTTGGTCCCTATGACTGCGCTTCCCACCAACAGCATCCAATTCATCGATGAAAATAATAGCAGGCTGTCTCTTCCGAGCGGTTGCGAAAAGCTCTCGGACACGCTT